TCACTTTATCATAAGCAATAATATCTGGATATAGTAATATCTACCATATACCTTTATTCGCTGGTTATTTCCTGTCTGATAAGGTTAGGCTAAACTCCAAAGGCTTCATAACTTGACTACAGTTTTAACTAAAAATAAGAGAATTATATCTACGATAGGAATCGACTGCCTCTCCTAATAAAGACACGTGCTATCATCGTGACATACGATTAGATATTGCAACACAGACTTCTAATTGCTCAAATTATGTAAACTCCAGCTATGAAAAGGGACATCTCATGCCTAAAAGTAAGAAGATATTCTAGTGTCCTACAATGTGTGATTGTAAAAAGAATGTATAAAATTTGCATTTTGATAAATTTGAATTGATTAAGGCGATGTAAGCTTCGATGTGGTAACTCAATCCAATTCAAACATGTTATCTAATATCGTACCGCTCCATGCTGCATTTAAGACAGGTTAGACTAGCCTGTATAGAAGAAAACTTATATAAGCTGTAGATATTCTACGATACAGAAATCTTGACCTCTTATTCTATTATGCTAAAACTTGCTTTAACTAGGACCATGGAACTACTTGGAGATGTTAATTAATAAATGGTCTAAAAAGTACGGAGGGATTTTTGTTATATCAGGAGCAATGATAAAAGCCGATCATGAAACGGTCATGAGCGATCCTTCATAGTAAGTAGTATCGTAGCCACTTTAGTATAGAATTCTAATTAAAAGAATAGATTATAGTAAGTAGCTATTGTCCTTATTTCTATTCTCAGTTGGCTAAACGGCGAAATAGGCTCTGTAGCTATTCCGACGCATCTTTATAAAATAGTTGTAAAATGTCAAGACTCGGATCAAGTCGCATGTAATGGATCAGCAAGCAATCACAAACCATGTGGTGGTAAATTGGAAGCATTATCATTTATACTGCCACATAGTAAATCAGCCTCACCTCAATGTCACGTAAGAATACTTGTAATATTTTATTATCGGTCAAATCGAGGTCTAAATTATAATTTAACCATGTAAACATAATTACGTAAATAACAATAGAAAACGATTTTTTAAAATTTGGATAATAGTAGTTGTATAAACTGTAGATATATATTATTAAATCCACTGATGTTAATGAGATTCTTGCAATAATACTGTACTTTAAATATTTAACAATACCGAAATATACTGATGCTTTATCCTTTTTTCTATAGAAATAGTGATACTACATTAATAATTTAAATTATATTTTACATACTTGTATTAATAGCTGCTTATATAGGTATTTTAAGTCTAGTGTTAATAGTTTGCAGGTAGGTGATGTATGTAACCGATCTCAAATATCTATAATTTATAGAAAATTTAGAACTTTATTAAATCTTATACGAAGATTAGGTTTGCACAGCTCTACTCTAGCCGAATACAACTACTAAACGTATCTAGAAAGAACTATTAGAATAATAAACGTTACTAGCTAGTATGCTCTTTGTAGCATTCACAGCTACAAGCAGTATAGCAACATTCTACCATATTTTACTGATATCCAGGTTATTATTGGTAACAAAATTTTACAGCGGACCATTATTAATCCAATGTGCAATCGACTACAGTATTTATATAGATACTATTTCTACCAGTCAAAGTACGATGAACTAACTATATCCTAATGTATGAATTACAGCTCTATTTTATCTTTAATTTTAATAGTAACTCGACACCCTACTGTATATAGTCATCTGTAGCATAGAATCTTCCACTACGATCTGTAGTTTGTAGTCATAAGCTGCTAAATATGTTTTAAGATAAAAATTGAAAGTCACGTTACTGTACATTATACTAAACGTTGCTAACAGTCTACGTTCTCAATACTAAGGTACGTGACAAGGTATTAGACGGGAATTTCATATTAATAATAGTCTTTTGTATCATAAGTACTGTGCGTCGTTATTTTCAACTGGAGTAGCCATGTACAGATTTTCTGGGTTGCTGTTACATTAATAATAGTCTTTACAGGTCTTTGAATTTTTATAATTTTATGCTAGTATTACTATGCTAAATACTCGGCAGATACAACACATTTCGCATCCGTAGTAGTTTACTCGTATATATCAATATTGTAAAATCTGATATATGCGTCCACCCGAGTATCTTGTACGATTTTATGCCTCAATAATGTAAGTTTTAAAGGTCATACACACGTATTAGACGCGTATTTCCCTTAATTACATAGTATTAAATTTCATATTATAAATGCATATAATAGACTTATACTGTAGATGATATCTGAACACGAATATAGGTCATGTATTATTAATGATTATTTTGTATCTACAGTTCAAATTTTGAGGAGTAATATTCTGATTTTTGAATTCCCACTTCTTTTGCTTTACAGTCTGCCGTATCGCAAATCTTTGATCATGTTTCCAGTATAGCTGATATCGAAAAATTGACTGGCATCGATTTCTTCCCTGAACTTTCAGCAGAGTTACAAGTTACGTTTGAAACCCAAACACCCACAGAGTTATGGTCGATTTTTTAACTTTACTAGCTTACATGATTCGTTAATTGCACTTTCATAGTTCTAAACGCTTACAGTTTGGACCTTGCGTTATAAATTCAATTTATCATTTATAGTTGCTAGTAAATATTTTATAGGCTATTAGTAGAGTATGAGTTAAGATATTTTACAACGCATTAATGAATTAGAATATATGAAAACTTCAATGCGTATAATCTACAATAGAAATAATTATGCAATTTACAATTTTTTTTGATAGCTTTAGACTAATCTCTTATTTGAAATAAAGACCAACTTTAGCCATTTATATATTCTTATTGATAAGTGGTCTGCTTATATTGATAGGTAAAATTACATGTTCAACTGCAATGATAATTAATGGAAATTGAGGTGTAATAAAATCAATTTTATGCATTCACCAAGAATACAGTTTATGTAAGAATAATAAATAAACAGTGCTGTAATAATTTCTCCAATATGCGGTATGTAGTACTGTAGAGTAGGGATTGCAACAATACAGCACTGCAATATTTTCTCGAAAGCATAAAGTATCTATAGGTCTGTATACCTGTATATGAACTCCTTTAACTACTAAATTAATTGAGATCGTTTTGACGGTTAGAGCAATCATTCCTAAAATAGCTTAATTTTATATTCAGCTATTTTATTTTATAAAATTATAGGAAAAAAGGCATATTGCCGTAGTGTTAATATAAAAGACGTGCCTGAGCCTATTTTACTGTTCTTTTATAGGAGGATTTTAATGCATTGTTGTATCACTTATTCTTGTAACCTGAAAAATAAGTAAATAGAAGAGGTTATTAGAATGATGATGGTTAGGAAATTAAAATTTTATCCCGCACGTCCTTTACGATTGCTAAAGCATTTCTGGGTTTTATTATACGGATCCAAAGTAAGCTACAAACTACAACTACTTGTTGCTCACCATTTTAGCTAATCGAATTGTAACTAATAACATATATTAGAAACTCAAAATTTTATTAAGTACGTCCTTTAATTACGGTATATTACAAGAGCACTTTTGTAGTCCAAAATTAGCTTAAGATTGTGGTTATCATGTTGTACGAAAATAGTTCATTATGTAAAATTAGATTGTAAAATTGTGAAAATTTTTAATTGTATATGATAATTAAATGCATACCGTAGCTTTTTAAAAACATAGTGATGCTTACATTGCATCACTGCATCACATATTAATCATAGATTTTGTTATAATAAGTCAAAAAGTTGTAGACTGAAGGTGACTGAAGGTAGTCATTAGCAATTTGTTAGGAGGACCAATTTATACAATAAAGTAAAATTTTACAAGAAAGTGAAGTTCTTGCTATAAAATTTTTTGAGTCACAGCATTACAATCTTAAAGTTACTTATATTAGTTGATAACCGCCAACTTTTACCATTAGCAACAGCTACTCACGGATCAGTACTACAGTTTATTTACGTGAATACTATGCATCTATTTGACGTAACAGTATCCTACTGCGAAATCAATTTAGTAGTTGACATTTGGAATTAAAATAAACTTATTGTAGCAATTGCGTCTTAAAATTAGAATAGCTTAGATAGAATGAAATTAATAGGGTACATCTTCACAATGTGGATTACGTATCCAAGTACGATAAGATTTAGCTGTGAAAATTTTATTGAATTATTGTATTGCATTGGTGAAATGACGAAAATAATTACTACGCATACCTTACTATTTATTATTGTTATGAGAAGAGATCAATGATAATTACATAAATTTGCTAATCTTCAATAAAAATTCTTACGCTATCCAGTTAAAATCAATGTTAGAGCATTTGTGAATTGAATCAATAGTTGTTTGTTGCAGTCTAAAGTAACAATAACATTATTTATTCATAGTTATACGGTAGGGGGCAAAACATAAAGAAGCTTTTAATTGCAATTAGATTATGATCCTCCTTCATCTATTGATTCTTAACTCTCCTCCTTCTTATTATTTTCTTAATTAGCATGATTTGCTAATTAATCGTTTATAAACTGGTACCTTTGTGCATATTTCTGATATCTTCTCTAACTCTTAGAGCTTAAGCATTCTTGTTAAGTCGATCGCAGAAAGATAGAGTAAAATCGTTTGGAAAAATGGAGAATAGAATAGAGGTAAGGAAATAACTACAATTTTATAGGAATAATTTTAGCTAATTTTTACCAGCATTCAATCAAGAATCTACGTTAAAATTGTTCCAATTTCTCCGTTACTTGCTAAGTTTTTATTTTTTAGAATATAAAAGTATATTTCTTTCCCTGATAATAGATTTGATTCGAAAAATTTTAGGCTACTCCTAAATATTGATGCTGTCCCTCGTAAGATAATATTGAATAGATCTTGCACGTATACGTCGTGCACATAAATTTAAAATAACAGTTTCAAACATTTTTGGCATAATCATTCTCCGATCCTAAGTTTGAATGTCATTTCAGTTGCTAATAGCGCTTGTATATATATAGGCAGCACCCTCTCTATATACTCAACTCTTTATACCCTCAATCATTCGATAAAGCCAGATATTATCCTCAATAAATCAAATTTTATTTGTAATATTAAGAATTTTAAATATAACATAGCTATCGATCACTGGTAATATTTGATCTCGTTAAAAAAACGAATGTAATGAGATGAAGTAGTAATAGATACAAATGTTGATTACAGAAGGAGTTAAGACATCATGTAAGCCCTCTAGATAGTTAAAACCTGATACCACTAGCATTATCAAATTGATATTATTGAATCTGCTCGATGTTGATAGTATGAACGAATGACGTTAGGACATTTTAAATCCTCATTTTAGCGTGATAGTTAATTGATTAGTCTAATTGAAATTATACCTATAAAGTACTAAGGGCAGAGCATAAGCAATGACGCAGTTTATTCTGGATTTATTTGATCTTTATCACCATAAATCTATTTTTCATCCATAGCAAGATATTGAAGCAAATCAATCCAAATTTCAATTGCAAACTGTGTAGAATAAGGTTGAATCAGCTGGATGCATTAGTTATGATTCGGTAGTCATCCGCCTATCCTACTTTAACGATGCTACTTAGTCCCAAGCTACTACCGAATATCGAAAGGATATTTTTAAACTGTTTTCCCAAATTAATGCGGACAAAAATTTTGCTAGGGTAATTATCAACGTAATTATAGACTACTATAGGGATAAAAGCAAAAGCCACTGCATGGATTAGTCACAATTCAATTGATCTATGTAATGATACTGCTAGGCCTTCGTCGTAGAAATGCGCAATGATAGAATACCTTTAATTTTACTCTCTATGTTAAGCAGAGTGATACATTAAATCCATCCTAGTTGTCAAAGTTCGATGCAAAATTTGATAGAATCAAGGTTAATACCGCTAGGATAAATAAGTTGTCTTACTACATATATAAACATTTAAGTAGTCGACTTTTAATGGCTCTGTTTGATCTCCATGGCTTGTATAAATAATGTTCCAGTAATCTTGAAGATGATTGGGATTGTCCGGTCGTAATTCTCCAAAAATATCTGGTAGATACTGTCATTCTCTAGAAACGTTCAAGTAATCTTGAAGATGGTTGAGATTGTCCGTTCGTAATTCTTAGAACTGGCGATTACATGATATAGGAATATTAATTAATTTAATTACCTTTATAATGATAGACAGACAGTAATAAGACAAATTTAAGTTACTGAATGGAGTAAATTATTGGTCGTCATATCATCAATATCTTCGAATCCATATTGATTATATTGATTGAACAGCCCAAGATTGGCTATAAACCTGTATCACATGAATTAATGCTCTTAACTAGCGAACAATTTCAAATGGGTTTTGCCATTTCAGTTAGATTTAATAGTAAATTATAATTAATTAATTTTATTATCTTTCCGTGCAAATTGACGAGGCTTGGCAAGGCGTCTGATAATTCTTGTCAAGAATTGAATATGATTTAAAATCCAGTACTGTATTGGCTGCAATTCCTTTCCAGACTCTATTTCTTATAATAAAATTTCAAAAGTAGTCGTGCTCCTGAAATATCTGACTTAAACAACACAGTTGCAGAAATAATGATTTTAGCGGTCTTGCATATATACACAAAAGCTTTAGCAGAACTGTGTAAAATCAAATTTTTCACTACTGGCTGTTGTGATTTCAGCCAAGGTTAATAATTAAAGTTGTTTGTTGCCTTTAGCCAAAATAACAACTATTAGTTAAATTAAAATAGGTGGAAGATCATAAGTTTATAACTCAAAACTGTTTCTATTTGAGGCAAAAAAAACGCTTTATTTACCCGCTGTATGTCAGATTGATATCAATATAGCCATGAATCGTTATCTTTCGACTTATATACGAACAAAAACCACTCGATAGCAGCTAATAGAAATTAGATAGAAATTTGCCCTTATAAGAATAGAAAAATTCAGGAATGAAGTAGTTTTGAATTTGCATTCTTATAGAACAAATTTATTTATATTTTATTTAAAACATTCTATATCAGAGTCGAGGTCGTCGAGTCAAATATTTGTTTGCATACTGATAGTTTTAAACATTTTACTTTTTAGAGAGAAAAGTTGGAAGTGGAAGGTCTTAGAGGCAGCAATAAAGCTGATGCTAGGAGAAAAAATATTATTTATGTCGTAAGTAATGAACCTCAAAGATTTGAATTTGAGAACGATCGGATCTAATGATATACTGGTTTCTGTAACCAGCCTTTAGCTCGTAATAAATATGGCGACGGATTTCAATTTTACGATTTATCCGCAATAGCAAAATCTTATTTTCCTATCGAAATCTATTGAAATCGCTTATATGAATTTACACAAGCATGCATATAGTTGAAAACTGTTATAGATAGGCAGCTGGACCCTAGTTACACAAATATTATACAAGCGTTCATTTATCCATTGGATAATAATTTGGTGACTATAATATATTTCAGTAGTCATCGATTTTACGTAGATAACTGATAATTTTTTTTCAATTTATAGTATATGTTAACGTGACAGGTGTAAACATAAGTCTGTCGTATTTAGTAGTAATATTAATATTTTTACTTTATAGTATATAAGCTTATAACCATAGTATGATTCATTTTGGTGGACATATCCAATCAATTTCACTGCTATATATCTGGACTTTCTTGTATGTTAATAAGCAGAGGCATAATCAACCCAATTCCATCGTAATATTACATTATTTTATTTATTTATAGTATAAACTTCTTCGTTTTACTTATAAATAATGCTTCCTTATTCGCTTATGATTGTATTCCTTACTCATGAATTTGCTTCTTTCCATTAGTGATTAATTACGGTACGGTACTTAAATTTTGTTGTTGCCGTAGGGGACCGTATTTCCTTACTTTCAGATAAAAGAAAATATATAACGTATTGTTTGGATTTAGGGTGAGCTCTAGTGACACGAATACGATGAACGAATATTATATCGCTGTAAGATAGCCCTGTGAATGTTGAATAAAATCTGCGATTAATTATAACTTGATTATAAGCACACATTAAAGGATAACGAATTGAGTTACTAATATAGGATGTCGCCGTACGATGCTCTTACATTTTGCGTGGAAATACCTAATTTATACCTTTTCGTTACGAGATGAATTTTAATAATTTAAAAAAGTTAAGCCGTGATATTATTATGGAACGGCCACTTTAGTGAAGCGAAAAATTTAGAATAATTTTAAATTTAAGATTAAAATTTCATATTTTAATTAAATAATCTTTTCCTCCACCATTCCTAATTTTTTATTCAGGTTGGCGGCATTCTCGTAATTGGTGTGGTTTTCGGTCTTGGGTTCATGATCGGCTGGTTTGCTAACCAAAGAGGTCTGTAACTGTATAGTCAGATAATTCTGCGCCAAAAAGCCGTGCTAATAGTTCTGTAGTTGAATTAATAATTACTCAATTCAATAGGTGTAAATCAAGGGCAACAAGGCGGCAATTTATGCCCAACATCGTCACCTACAGCACAATCCACATACTCAACCAAACCTGCTACTACGCAATCCACGAATTCAGCCACACCTGAGCAATCGACAACTGCACCACCTGCTACTACACAACCGGCTACTAAACAACCTACAACTCCACCAGCAACTACCCTACCACCAATAACATTCCCACCATGCAGGTTAATTTAATGAATACAAGCTTCATTAAATCGGTAGCTCCACTAACACATTTCAGAGTGGTAAAAGAATTATTGTAATTTAGAATTTAATACACCTAAGAGATGCTAGAGATACAATCGTGAAATTATAACTGACAATTGCTGATCCATTAGCGCTTTATTTGCAAATGTAGTATAACTCCTGCACCTTTACTGGTCATCTCTCTCAATGGATTCCGTTGGGATTATCTTAATCGTGGTCAAACACCCAATATTTCCGCTTTTGCTTCCAAGGGTACCCAAGCAGACTATATGAAACCAGTTTTCCCCACGCAAACGCTGCCAAATCTCTACAGTATTTTAACAGTACATGATAAATATCCTTTTATCGGAATTTGAATTCTTTACATTTACATTTTATTAATAGTAATGAGATAAAGTTTTTCTAAATTCGTCATTTCTTTCTACTAATTAGGGTCTATACCCAGTTAGTCATGGCATTGTTGCTGATAATTTTTACGATCCCAATTTTCAAGAAACTTTTGATTTTAAGGGCGTCAATGGAACCCAAGAAAAATGGTGGGGTGGTGAACCGGTAAGTCTACAGTAATATAGTACCGTATATCTAATAAAAAGCTCTAAAATCTCTATCTCAAGTTAAGTTTAATGTTAAGTTTTACTTTTGGCTATCCATCTCTATAGATTTGGGTAACCGCTAACAAAAATAATATTACTACAGCAAGCTACTTTTGGCCAGGAGATCAAGCCAATTTCCAAGGTAGGAAGACAGTAAGAGAGTTGACATTAAATGAATTATAGTATTTGAAATCAGTTCAAGAAATATAACGTCTTAAATATAAGTAATACTGTTGTAAATTGGTAGTATAATACTATTTTTCTATTTTTGAAATGATTTATTATAGGATATCATCCCAATTATCGGTTTCCTCCCAACATGTAAGTAATGAACAGCTAATTGTAGATGCCAAGAACATCATCAGTTCTAATTTAAATACTTTTTGTGACTATAGGAATGCCACGGCTATGGATCGCGTTACTCAGTTTTTTCAATGGCTTGATATGCCTGCCGATAAACGGTTGCTTGCAGATATAATCTAATTTGTGATTAATAATGCGCTTTATGATTTTTTAAAAATAGATCAAATATAACTAGATTGAGATACATTTTTAATACCAATGTTACTCGTACACCAGGCCACAACTCATTACCATGACTTTCGATCAAGTTCAACTAGCAGGAGCTAGATATGGTCCAACATCGAATGAGGTAATATTAGACGGATACGAGTATTAGGACTCACATTAATTGGATTGTTCTTTCCTGCATAAAATTTAAATTTTTAGACTGTTAAGAGTTCAAGTTGGAAAGCTATTAGTAGCTTGATTTACGCATACAATCACTGCGAATCTACTAAATCTTTACAGGCTATACTATCCTTGAGATATATTGACACTTGCAACTGCGCTACTTGAATATTTGCTAACTATGTTATGACTAATAAAAAAATGTTAATAGGTAAATCAAGAAATAAAGAACATTGATAATGCAATTGGTGCCATTACCCAAGGATTAAAACAACGCAATGCTGAACATTGTGTAAATGTCATCATTACTTCTGATCATGGTAAGGTTTATAACGCATGATTGTATCTTAAGTGGCGTTGTTATTCTGGTTTGGACTACTTATAAACTATTACTTTACCTTTGCTTACCAGGAATGAAACAACCATCTTGTTCCAAAATAAGATATTTAAATACGGTAATAATAATTTATTATATCATAAATTAGTATACTATAATCTTTGATTGATGTTGAATTTATAATGCTATAATTTCATTAGTATATTGATGTTGATAAAAATCAAGTCGTCAATCAAGGAGCATTCGGAGGTATCCTCGTTAATGGAGGTAAGGGCTCATCAGAAATTGGTTCATTGACTTCGTTTCTAAAATTTTTTATACTTGTAGCATTTTCTGATAATACTGTTATCTTCTTATAGGAAATGCTACGGAAGTAGTTTCAAAGATTAAAGTAAATTGAATAATTTATGATATTCTCACGACATCCATTGTCAATTTTAACTGATAACTTTGATCATATTCAGGGTAGAAGTAGTAAGTTTACTGTATTCAAGAAAGAAGACTTGCCGTTTCGTTTCCATTATCGCAATAACACGTAAGTCCGGTTAATGCAGAGATACTAAGATATTGATTGCATAAAGATTGAACAATTTTATCCAATTTATGGATTTGAAGTATTCATGTCTAAACAAAGTGATTCAGTTTTGTATTATTACAAATTGCATATCTCGGCACTTTTATAGTTATGAAGTTCCATACTCCTAATTATAGAGATACAGTACACACTTAAATGGTATTGATTACATTTGATAAAGGTTCACGCCATGATACTTTGCTCTCTACATTTAATGTTAAAATCCATTAAGATTTCCACTCTTTCATTTTATTATAATGCAATATAAACAATATTTAAGCAAATTTTCACTTGACTAGAGCTTTCAACTTGTAATCAACTTAGAGCTTATTCTAAGCCTAAGAGTAACATTTCGAATATCAGATATACACATAGGTTAGATACCGTACCAGAGTAACTTGACAGTCTAAATTGGAGCTAAGTTTACTGTATAGTTATAATCGATAAGTTAGGACTCTAATCATCCATATCGAAGATTTTCCTAAATGTACTAATATATATGGTAGTAATTAAATACTCGTGTGAAGAAAATCAATTCTAGTAATTTCTTAAAATCTGCCAGCTCACATTATTTTAGATATCTTCACATAAGTTTATAGTAAATTTGCACATATATCCCTAAGGCGATATAGATATATGGCATGATGGAATGTATCTACAGTATCATTATAATTATTTATTACATAGTCGGGGGCGCAATAAGCAGTAATGCTATGGATCTAGATTAGAAGTACTGTGCTAACCAACATCGTACTATGCTACGCTTGTATGCCTTTAACTCAAATATTTATAGACCCTGATCATAGACTAAAACTTTATAACGTCTTCGCTTCAATCGTTACGTAAGGTGTTGATTAAATAGCGGAGCCTGTTCTGCCGATAAATTTCCATTTAAGTTACGGTCCGAAATATAAACGTTTTTAAAAATATGTTAACTGACTGTTGCAGAATTTGTGTCTACTCTTAAAATCATTTTATAAGCCCAATTATTTTAGCAGTATACCACCGATTACACCATACAAACTATGTATAGACGTATATTAATATTGAATCGTTTTAGTAATTAAATTTGAGCAGAAAATAAACAAATCAAGCAAACAAAGGGTTAATCATCATAACAATCCGAGATATCATCATACTATTCTGATTTTGTATCGATCTTTGGCTAATGTTTGACAGGGTGTTGTCCACAAATATGAATGACGTCTTAAAATACAAGATCAACAAGTTGTAAAATGATCTTAACCTCCCATTTTATGTAATGGTTATAACGGTTGAAGTATATAATGGTTCCAGTCCTGTCCCATTATATAGGTACCGGTACTTTAGTATATTAACGAAGGATTGTTCTAAGTCACTAAGTTCAGCTTGATTCATGTAGCTACAAATTCGAAATTTTTGACTAGCGGCACAGTACTTATACTTAGTGATCCTTATCAGATCAGCGACCTAATTAAGGTTATAGTTATAGTGGGATATCAGTGTAAGATATCAGTGTAGGTATTTTCAAAATTAGCTACACATATTAGTTGGATAGCAGGCTATCCGTAACTACTAAGACTCAACCTACAGTGGACATCGCTAAGGGGCTATTAGTAATGCTGGATACTGTGTCCGGGATATTCTAGTTAAATTTAGCTCATTGAGTTAACTCATTTGAAATGACGATTAGCTATAGCTATTATATATCAGTTATTCAATAAATGATACGGTACTCGTATTAATTAAGATAATATCAAGCGCTGAGAGTCATTTCTAGCTAAGCTGTAGGATACATTAATTAGGAGATTATGTAAACGTCAGATAAATTCATAAGGATACAAAATACGATATTCACGCTAGTAGTTACTGGGTGCAGGTCAAAGTCATATCAGCTTAGTGTTACAAAAATAATTACTATAAAATAATAAGTACACGGTGGACTATAATTTATAATTAAAGCTAATGTAAAACAAATACACAAGATATAGTGAAATAACGACAGACGCCTATAGATGATTTAGATCGCAATTTCGATACCATTTACTATTACAGTTTATACCTGAAGAATTTAATTTTCAAAGTAATTTGAGCATTAATGATTTAGCTACTAATTTATCATAAAGGAATATAAGATCTTAATTTTATTTTAACTATTCTATTTTTTAATCTTAACTTGATCATTTAAAATCTACTTTTTATTAGGCGTATCCCTGATGTAATAGTCGTAATGGTGGATGGTTACTTGGTTAGACGTATGTAAGTAAATATATTAAAATGGCAATATAGCTTCACTCGTAGGTACAAGTGAGTAGTATTTTAATTTTATATAATTTATGTCTTAGATACGACGCCAATTATACAGCGTGTGGGTTAGCTACAAGTGGTTGGGATAATTTGGAAAAGGATATGAGGACCATTTTTATGGCTTCAGGCCCTGGATTTCACAGCTCTAAGAAGATTAAACCATTTTTAAATATTCAGCTATATAATGTCATGACAAGTACGTTGTTTCTAATCTATTTTACAGCAAAGAAAAGGATAGCAATTGATGTGTACCTGCTGATAATTAAATATAAAATCTTTAATATATAGAGTTACTAGGCATTAAGCCAGCCAAGAATAATGGCGTCTTAGGATCACTGAGAGCCATGTTAAGGAATCCAGGCGTTGCTACCCCGCAAGCTCCGAGTCAGCCAGGTCCAGTTTGCCGTATACCGGCAGATACTGCTTTATTTGAAGATAGAGCTCGATGTTCGAGCTGTGTTTGTCCCTATTGCCGCGTAAGTTCCGTGCATTATATTTAGCATTATGTTAATGATAGATATAGTGAAGGGAATAACGCTCTGCAAAAGCTATAGAATTTATACAAATAAGCAACACCTGCCATTTGCTAAAGCCTAAATTGATATTCAATAAAAAAATTTTAAAAATAGAATATTAAATTTTTATCAAGAGCGATAATATTATCTGTCCAATTTTTGTTATCGAACTGAAAAGTTTAATTTTTTCAATACTTGAAAATTTTTTTATGTAAAATTATTTATTAAATCTTGTAGAGTGTTGTCAAAGCGAATTTGACTCTGTACAATCAAGCGCTCAATATGACTACGCAAGAAGGTTTCATATAAATAAGCATTTAATTGTCTTCTTATACAGTAACAGAATCATCTTAAAATAGATCATGATAATTTAAGTTTAATTAATCCAATTTATCGTTGCTATTAATAACGTTGAATTTTGATTTTCATTTAGAGTCTGCTGCTCAAATGATGAATTTCCCATGGGGTATTCCAGAATATCGAGTATCTCTTGATACTTGCATCCTATATCAAAATCATTACATCACCAGTTATAGCAACACCTATCGAGTACCTTGGTTTGTAGGCTATGAAATAACAACTAAGGTACAGAATTAATTTAGACCTTCTTGACGTATTAGCTTAAGCGGAGTTCTTACATGTTAAAGTATTGTTGTCAATGAAATTATTTATGCCACTAGGAAGCTTCAGGGTTCCTAAAGAGAAACGATTGTTTCCGACGTGATCTTCGATTGTCCATTGCATCTCAAGCTTCTAATTGTACCAGCTACTCCAGATCTGGCTACGATCGTGGCCATATGGCTCCAAACGGTATGGTACATAAAAGCAGTATTGGATAAAGATAGAATACTAATGATCTTAGATTATTTTAAATACCGGCAGATATCATTCGATAGAGTATATTTGAAGATAATTTTAACTTGCATGCATAAGCATCGTACATATTTGAAAGTACCGTACACTATCCGTATATTTAAATATTTAACCTGTAAATATTAATACCTAAAAACTGGTATACCGTAACTTTACTCTAATAAGCAGTTCCAGCTGCCATGCTCTTTAGATCCAGGGTAATTTAAAGAAAAATTATCCTATTCTGAATTTATATTATTATTGCTATTACTTTATTCGAATATAAAACGAGCAAAGAGTACCCGTAGCTTTACTGCATCAAACTGTCGTAGTATGAAAATCATTGAATCATGTGTAATTTGCTGTGGTGCAAGGCAATAACTTTGATTTAGCATATCAATCTTGAATGTTTAAGCTTACAGCAATAAATTTAGTGTTTGCTATGTTAGTCGCAGATAATTTTTATACAAATATATATCGGCAACTAATAAATCTCTCATGACTTGTAAAAAGGTGACATGAACTTTGATGCAGAGGCGCAAGCTAATACCTACTTGCTATCCAATATAGCCCCGCAAATTCATAATTTTAACGCAGGTTAGCATCTCGATACATCGTAGCATGTCGGTATCAATGCTTAAATCTAACAATAACAATTGTAGTTTGTTAATTAATAATAATAACTGCTTTATACTAGGCCCTTGGCTTAACCTCGAAAGCTTAACGAGAACTTGGGCTAAAAAATATGGCAGTGTTTATGTCCTTTCAGGTTCATTAGTTCTTGGTGATCGGAATAAAATTTGGAGCGATCCTTCCTAGTAAGCTCGGCGAAAAATTAAAAATTAATACTTAGAAATAAAACTTTATGAATCAGATTTTTAATTTATGTGTATATTAATAGTCTACTCTTATTAACAAAATTAGTTGGATTCATGGTGCAATCGATACCGTTGTCCTTCCCACGCATTTTTATAAGATATTTGTTAAATGTCAAACTACAAAGAAAATGGCAGATAGTAAAAATGAAAAGGCAATAGACCCATGTCAGGGTAAAATTGATGTCATATCGTTTGTCTTACCGCATCTCAACTCACGTAAACCACAAGGACAGGTAAACTTACTAAAACTGATAAACTAGACGTTATATAATGTTAATAGGAATGAGGACTAATTATATAATACTCCTTTTTGATTTTTTTATTGCTGCAGTTGACCGACGTTTACCTATTAGATCATACCACAAGTATACGTGATATCGAGGCGTTATCTGGTATCAATTTTTTTCCTAACTTACCTTCTCAAGTGCAAGATGAAATTGAAGTCCCTGTAGCATCCGAAATGTGGGCTAAATAGTAAATCTTGACATGGATCAGTCTATAATAAAAAAATAATTTCTATTAGTTACCGGTATACTCTATAAAAGTTCGAAGGTATTGTTATTGACATACAGGAGAAGTATGACCACTACTTTCAATAATGTCTTGACTTCGGTTAGATAATATACGATTATTAGAATTCTCAGGCTGCTTAATGCGTGCGTTATAATTAGGCGACTGTATAATGAAGATTTTAAAATGACAATATTTTAATTCAGTATACATATTAGGCGCAATTTTTAATCGTGAAACATTTTCTAAAAATAGCTATTGCCTGTTCACGAAGTTATTTCACCAGTGACTTTACAAGAATAGATAAATACTGATAAATAGATGATACATAGTTACGACAAAATTCGAATAAAAGATCTTGTTGGATAATGGGTGTATAATAATTTTATTGACATAGACGTTCGGCTAAAGAAAGTTCACAATAGATACAGTATCTGCGTAGAAATATTAATTTTTGGATCTATGATACTAGAATACGTATACATAAAATAAACGTAGTACTGTAAGTTGTGGAATCTTATAATTTTCATGCATCAAATTGGATTCAAGAGAATTATCACTTTGACTACCTTTTTCATATATCCCTAGCAATAAGATTGTACTTTTTCCTTTAAATTGATCAATTGTATTATGAATCCATGGAGGGATATACCAATAGACACAATGTATCTACAAGGAGTTGTTGTATTATCATCAGCTATATTTTAGATATACTCGTAATTTATTAACTCTAAAACTATATTTGTAGGAGAGCAATAAAGCACGACTTACTGCACAGTTGTTATGATACCTTAAGATACCATTTTACTTATACTCTTAAAAGTTCAAATTCAGGCTAATAGTGATGAAGTGTGGTGATAATTCGTATTTACATGAAATGGATAAATTTAGTTGCAGAGCCTAAGTCACAACTCGAGATATAAGCATCCTAATAGTGTGATATCGTGAATTTTATCGGCTACAAGTAATTATATTTTGTTCAGTTGCGATATGGTACTGGTATCATCTTGAAATAATTGAAATAAAGACAGTTTTTATATCTAGGAGCGTTAAAAATTATAACTTACTATGAACTACTGTTGTATCACATCGAATTGAATCAATTTTATATACTGCTGATCAAATTATGACAGCAAAGAGCATTTATTCTACTGCACTTAAAATCGAGCAGATTTATTTAGAAGTACTATATATAGCTTTTGACAGTAAATTTCAAATTCCATGGACTTAAAAAACTTTTGTAATCTTAATGCATACAGGTACGTATAACTAATTAATTCACTAAAATAGCTCAATATTGTACCAATCATACAATCATCGCTTTTCCTATCCTAGCCATTTTGAATATAGGTAAAAGTAATCACAGCATCAATACTTTCAATTATAATATATTGCACTGAAAAGTGGGTAAAAATAGAATGCGAATTAACCAATACGACATGAAGTGTACTGAAAGAGAAATTAACTACAAGGAGTAACTACTAAATCACTGTTTACATCAACCGTGTTGCTGAATAAACGTCAGAAATCATTATCCGTGGTTAATCGTTTGTCAAATCCTACTGTATTGTCCAAGAGCATGCACCACGAGATTACACCTAGTATCCCTTGCCAAGGGGTAACCATTTTATAATATTAGTGTATCTTGCAATTAATAGGCAATGTAGCAGGGATAAAAATAAAAAAATATGTAGACTCTGCATTCGACCATATCCATTTTACTTTATTCTATATTTTTTAATGTGTGAAAATTCCTTTCTCTGAATTTAAATCTAAGAATATTTCAATTTGAGCGCTAATTCCAACCTTAAATTGTTTGATTTCAGGGAGATATGAGCAGAATGCAGCTAAATAAGCAATAGGTATGCTCTACTAGGTAATACAGTAGATTGGTGTTTTTAGGTGTTAAAGTAGCTCTACTGTACTACCAAGAAATGGCTGACCAAAATTAAAAGATGCTAAGTTTTTATTACATGGTTTAATCTGTCCAATTTGTTACAAAGTCCTAAAAGTTGTTTGAGGAATTTTTCATATACACAGATTATATAATGCACATACAGTATACATGCCAAATACAAGGTCATATATCAAATTGATACGATTACGATAGTTGTCAATTCAAAATTCATAATCTACTAAGAAAACAACGATTTCATCAATGATTACTGCTGCAATAACATCAATACAGTATTTACACTAAACAAAGCCAAACTTAGAGTTATGCAACAAAGTCGATAAGCAAGTCATGATTGTCTACTAACTAATGTCAACGGTAATACAGTAAAAAGATAAGATAATGTTCTACTTTCCAAAATTTGCCTGAATTTGAAGTTAAATATGTATGATAATAAAACCCTGGCGAATTCAAACATTAGGTACAAACATATCAAAATTTGAAATCTAACCGACATTATTTAGATATTCAAAAAGCAACAGTAGCTAAGTTAAGTTTCTTTGCGGTAACCGAAATCATGGTCATCATTTACAATAATATTGAATTAAGTTATAGAATTTATATTAAAGATAATGAGCAAGCCGGCAAATATGTTTAGTAATTGTTACTAGTATTAAATAGCTAAAATAGTCTAATCTGCATCTATATATCTATCATAATAATAGATGATGAAAAGCATTTATTGCATTATCACCGGTAGTTACATTTTCCGGTGAATAAAAATTTTCAATTATGTTACATCTATAGAGCATAAATGTGAAGCTTAGTTAACTAAAATTATTTCATTTGAAAATAAAACTCTATATTATGGGTATTATGCTATTTTACGTATGGTTCAGCTTTTCCACCATAAAGAACTCGATATTTCTGATTCTTCCAGATAACAGTACGACTAGAGAGGGCTCTAATATAAATCCAGATGGATATGCACTCTCTAAATATCCACATCAAAGGAATTTTCCAGGATACTTCTATTGGAGTTGGCTATTAAAAATAAATAATATGAATTCTTATTATTGTATAAGTGAAATTGAATCTAGTAGTTCACTCTATGCTTTTGCCATTTTTAATTAAAATACCTGAATTAATTTCAGTAGCATCATATCAAATAAGAACCAACAGCCGATATGAATACCATAAATGGTACCAAATCCAATTTTTGCAAAGTGATTTATGCCATAAGCTCCTATCAGTCCGCACACGATGCACTCTGATATTGGTTCGAATGCTGAAATTAAAGGAATCATAGCCATACGTAGACGAGACCATCTAATACAAAGAATTTAAGAAAAGGTCATAATTCCGCTTAAAGTTAATTACAACTAATTTTTAGATCGAATGTAAAGAATATGCGTATTGATAAAATCCATCGATGTTTTATGATTACCTAATCATCCGAGCGACGTAATTTTGCACTGATCTTTTTCCCGGATTTTGGAAGCAAGGTTCATTCCCTAAAGCAAATTTCCAACCTCTATAAAAAGGCATTGGTAAAGCAAAGTAAGTCAGTTAAGTACAATAATCCATTCTTATAAACGCTACAAAGGGCTGAATCTTATTTAGACCTGTCATAGATTGACTTGGCTAGAAAAAAATCTTCAGCAATATAACAACCAAAAGTTTCTAAGCCACCTAAAATTAAATTTCATGTAAACTTAATTGAATGGTCCTTAGGTAAGTTAGATAAACAGTCTCGATTTCACTTACCCACTTCATCCAAAAGATGCTTACGGAATAAACATGACATTCCGCTGGCGCAATTAACTCCACATGCATTCGTGGTTAAGTAAACACGTCCATGAGCACCACCAAAATGGATTTTATCTAAATATCCTGCTAACGAATCGATGTGTGTCGTATAGGGCAACTGATGGACCATGCCGACATTTTCGGTCATTCTCGCAACCATATCTGTTAATGTATTTGGCGTCACTGTCACGAACAAAGCAAATTTTGAGTTAGATTTCCAATTAAAATTATAGTACGGTTTTACAATCGTCAAACAAGCAAGCTACTACGAAAGATAATGTATTAAAAAGGTACACATAGAATAGCATAAAATTGAAAAAGTAGACTTGGAAATTCATATAGACAAGTATCAACAGTCACGTTATTTCATAATGTATCATTGTTACTACTAGTAATAAACTAAAATAGTAATCAAATATCCCAATTCATTGCATATGAATCAGGAAAACATTTTCATGATATTTTAAAGGTAAAAATTTATACAAAGGATAGCTAAGTCAATGGAATTGCATCAGAACTGGCAAACAAAGAAATAACAATGAAATCATTATTATTAGCTGTACCTTTGATGTTGCTGTCTGTAATCCAAAGTAAGTCATATTGTGCGGCTGCATATCCGGGGAGAAGGTTGTTAATTTTAGGATTGAGACATGTATCAACGGTTTCTAAATGAAACATATCGTTATTAGAGATACGTATTTAGCGTAAAAAGCATTAGAAGAAGATAGACACACAAAGTAAGACTTGTACTATTTGAATATGTTGATCTTAATAATCTTATGTATATTATAATTATTGGACAAGCATAGAGTAAGCCGTTATTAATCCATAGATTGAGAGAGCATACTTTCGTATCATCGAAAACTTTATTGTCATAACCTATCATAGTTATATTATCATAAAATGCTATTCAGTTTTGTCACGGAATTGCTATTATATCTTGGGTATTATACGCTATGTTCAATACTTGTATTCTTAGAGTAGTTACTAGGCTAACTTCATTCGATTGTTTTTTACTATACTGTACAGTAGTATTTATTTACAATTATTTATAGTAAAGTATATTCATTAGACCTACTAAGCAAATGCCTTGGGGAAACTTAATTTTGATATCTTTAATTACAATCAATTCTTCCTTACTAGCGGGGCAGTACATCCACCTGATATACCCTTGTATGAAAGTTAGTGATAAACCTACGGTCGACGTATGGTATAATTATATTTGTAATCAATAGTGATATGACTATTAAGAAGGATCATGATTAATCTAGAGGAAATTATGGGAAAACGCAATAATTTTCAGGCTATAGTACTTTACTAAAGTTATCATGGTCTTAGTCACTTTATGCAGCAGTGATTTGTTATTTATTAATATATTGTACTGTAGATAACATGGTAATCAGCATTATTTGTGAAAGACTATACTCCATGGTTTTCATTTCTCACGATTTACGTATGTACTATTGACCACAATAAAGTACTTATAATGCTACAAACCAAATATACAGTAGATTGTATGCTGTACAATAGATAAAAATGATAATGACAAAATGAATGAGTAAAAATCTAAAGATTACTACAGTACAGTATGCTGATCTTATTATGTTTGCAGCGAGGCCAATCAATTTTGCTAGATATGAGATTCATTAGGTCTACGAGATTTACCGTTCTTGGCAACATACTGTACAATGTAAAATTGGATTTGGTTTACAAGTAACTTTACAATGACAACAGCTATCAGGACTGTGTGTTACGGCAGTCTAGCAAAATGTCATGAATCGATTGATTATTATTTTTACCCCTGGGTGTAAATGATCATTAGGCCAGCTACTATTATAGATACTGTAGATAAACTAATCTTTGGGCGTACAGTGTACGATACCACACTATCAGTACTAATTTTTATCATTTCCAAAAGATATCAACCAGTTTGTGAACTACAGTATAGGATAGGGAGTAAGTAGTTTTAGTGGTTTTATGTTTTGAATACACGTGTTTTAACGGCACTACTTTCTTGACACAGAGCGAAGGAGTTGTTATTGGTTGTACGGGTATACCATCAAGACTGCTGTGATGAAGTATTTAATTTCACTAAGAGTCTTTTCAATTAGGCAAATGATAGCAACGTAGTAGCACTTTCACGCGGGTACATGGATTGTATTCAAGTAAAAATTCAATTCAACAATATGGCTGAAATTAATTTTGAAATTTAACTAAAAAAACATGATTTACAGTTAGTTACCTATAAATAAACGGGCTTTGACGTTCGGGTACTGCTTGATTAATAAATTAACAATTTCAATAGCGGGATCTTCAGGATTTTGGATGCAAAAGAAGAGTTCGTACTAGTAGATTGACAATTTAAAAAAGTATCAATTAGACGGTAGAGAAATGAAAAGCAGTAACAATTAAACTTAAAATGTCTACTGCATTTTTAGTTAGTATATAATTGTGAAGTGTTTCTCATGTACAGTAGCAATAAAGTCCAAACATGCAATCCGAGTAAGATCACAATTCTGGATTGAAAGAAATAGCAACGTAGTATAGACAATATCTATTTTTCTTCTTCGTTCAAAATGTAAGGAAAACACTTGATTTGCCTACTACTTTTTCCTTGACAATTCTTCAATAAAAGATCAAAGTTTAATAAAAAGATTGCCAGACTTACTCTGCTATACGTTAATTCGAAATAAGAGGCCAAGTTGTGCGATAGATTAGCGTCTCCACCAACTAAAGGCTGTAAATAAGGTAATGAAGTAGAAAAAATGGGCAAAAGTAGATTTTAGTTGAGATTTAAATAAGCAGATTGTCGGTATTAACGATATTTCACCGGGAATACTCAACATACCAAAGCAATACGTTTTTCTAATGGGTATTAAAATACTACTAGTTCGTGGGCAGTTACTATGACTATTGTTCAATACTGTACACTGTTGACAGTAGGGTACCGTACTCCACTGGTCTAAAAAGGGCATTTTAAAGTTATTTAAGGTGACTGATTTAATTATAATGATCGAGTTACCAAATAAGTTCGATGGTAGTGAATAGCAAGATTAAGTTTACGCATCAACGCATAAATTGAGGGATGGCCATCATTACTTGGTCAATCGTCTGTATAGGATACCTTTTACTTCATTTTTTTTTTTCACATCATTGACCACTTACTTTTAGAATAGATACTCCCGGTACATCGGCTAATTCTTCTGGCTCTGATTGACTCTTACGGTATAAAATGTACTTGCTATAATAGATAAAAGAAGGTAAAAAATAGAGACATTACGTTAAAAATCCGATCCTAAAATAGGAGTGAGAGAGAGAGAGAGACGCGGGGGCCCCCCAAAAATATCGGATTGTAGTACTACTATTTATCGAGTAGTATGATTTTAGGCACGACTGGTGGCATATTGAATTCAAGTACATGACTGTAAAGACGCCATCATTCAAGGAGTAATTAAGCCATTGCCATGTACAATATGCTACCTTAACGTAGTATACTATCAATAAGTAACATCTTGGCATAGCCAAATGAGAAGTAGAGCCGACTGGAATTGGAATAAATAGCAAGCATTGATTGACTATGCTACCGCTATAAAAACGTCTTTCAACAACGATACTATCGACTGGAAGAGCACGCAAAGTAGACATGATTGATATAGTATAAGTAAGTAACGCCCTTACCCGTATCCTAGCGCTACAAGATGAAAAGAAATAAAATAGCTCCATAGTCCCATACACACCACCGCTAGAACATCATATCCCGTAATTTCGCTTTCTAACAACATAATCAAATCATTTATGGATTACTCGATTTCTTTTTAGTCCAACGCTTGCAATAATATTCCAGTTAGGAATGGACGGAAAAAAAGCCACAAGCAATAACGCAGGCAGGCAGATAGGCAGCCCGACACCGATCACACCACCGTTGGACTAATGTTAACGATGATTGGTTTGACTGTTATGTTCTGTCTGTTTGTCTGTATGTCGGTGTACAATACGGCAAATACGGTCGAGCGTTACGCGGTTATGACGTGGATGGCACCCCAGCCAAGGGTGATCAAGGATGAGTATGACTGATGACTGAAAAGTCTTTTTCAACATGTTCATGACTCATATATCGGATAATAGAATTCATTAATCTATTTATGGTATGAGAAGGTTTGTTACTTGTGACTGATGGTGCTTCTTCCTTGACCACGATACGGTACAATGGCGTTGCTAGGGACTAGGGAACTGGAGGAGTGTTGGACGTGCTCTACTATACAGTACAATAGTTTGTTGCGGTGGTCCATAGAATCCTGTTGTGAGTAGACTACAGTAGAGACCCTTATGGAGGGTCTTGTCAGTTCATTTTATAGTAGTACAGTACAATGTACTTCACCAAGGTTACACTTGACCGTACTGTAGCGTTCCGAAATGGGTCAAATACTAGAGTGCTTCTTCCATTGTACTGTACAGTACAAGTACAGTACTGACTGGACTGTAGAAAAAATTCATTTCGTACTGTAGATATTGTAGACTTTTAACCAATTTTACGGGAAAATTATAAACTATTTCGAGAAATAAGAACCAAATCGGCATTTCTGAGTTATTCGACTACAAATACATATAGATTTGATCTCGTTGGAACCTGATTGAACTAGTACAATTATATCTTTTCAGAGTGCCATCGAAATTCATCAGACTCAGTACTGTACTGTACTGTATAGCGATAGAAATTACAAATTTCTTTTTTACTATACAGTACTGTATACAGACTTGAAGGGCGAAATTCGACTTCAGAAATTCTATGGTGATACAGTGTTTGTATAGCGATTGCACTCATTTGGGGATAGAAAATCAACAATTCCATTGGGTTCGGGTTACTTTTCACTCCATTTAACGACTCTACTGAGTACAGTATGCCCGTTTCGAGGCCTGACTGTGAGAGTGCAGATTAGCGAAACCAACTACTGTACTGTACTGCATAGTTGGATCTAATGCACAGTCATAAACTACTAAATGATCTTGATAACCGAATCTCTGACAGGTCTAGCCAAGGTCTTTGATAATTAATAATAATTCATTTCAATTTTATTGCTAAAAAGTTTACAGTAGAGAGTCTACTGTAAACTTTTTAGCAATGAAACTAGAGACCAGAGGGAGGAATGGTTAAAGTTCAAAGTCTGATATACTGTAAAACTACTGGGGGTCTGGATCTGGTCATAGTTCAGGATATCGTTGCTGTTTTGGAAGGCATTAAAGTACAGTTATTGTACACTAGGCCCTGCTATGTTGATATCTTTCAATCATACAGTACTGTATATACGGTAGAGTATAGTATAGAAAAGGGCGAGAATTTCATGCTATGGGCTATGCTAAAATATTGTAGTATGCTTTTCAGAAGATAGTGGGCCGTAGGCATGTGGGTTGTTACTAAAATACTGGACCAGACAAGCAAAATACGATTGTACGTCCAGTATTATACTGTACTTACGCTGAGTATCGATATCAATATGGCTGAATTGTACACTCATGAATATTGTACAGTGTAGGAAGATAAAACTGCAGTTGCTCAGAGAGGAAATGACTGCAAATCTGGTAAAACAGAAATACAGTACTGTAGAGTGATGTGTATGAAATTCCTTCTATTTTCTCTATACTAAAAGCTGTTCAACATTAAAAATTCTCCTATTGGTCAAAAACACAGATGTTTTTTAACCTCTATAGTCTACAGTACGTACTGTACAGTACTATACTGTACACTATGTACACTGTACAGTACACAGTACTGTGAGTAAAGCGGGCCTTTCAGGCAAAATGGTGGCATCTCCGCGCATGCTCGAATTTATCCCAGCACGTGTGCGACTATGTGCGACCATAGTTCAATAACTCAAATATTAAAAGCAAATGAGTGGCGAAACGCGATTGTTATTGTCATCAAGATAATGACTCTTGCGTCATCATTCTTAGAAAGAGAAAGAAAGTGATGCCAGTGACTAGGGTTGTATTGGATGGCAGTGTTTCGTATTGCAATTTGACTCTGCTACATACAGTATACTGTACTCGTCCGATGCTGCAGCTAAAATGGTAATTCAATTACAGCTACTATTGACTCCAAGACGCGTCACTTTGGCGGAGTAGCGTTTCAACCATTGGCTTCAAGCGTTTACGATTGTGTGCCAGTTGGAACGTTTCAGTACCGCTTTTAATTGGGTCCACTGGCTGCCATTGCAATTGGATTAAGTTACTTGAACCTAATATGATCCAGTAGATTAGTGTGCCAATTCGCTTGTGATCAAGGAATCAAGATGAATCGTAATCGTTCCCCTAGGAGGTAAGTTTTGCCATCTCATTGCAATGATTCGTTGTCGATAGAAGGCAACATAATAATATTTAGTGCCTTCTCCATCAACATTTTGTTGAAATAATAACAAGAAGACAATTTGCCAATACAGCAACTGCAAGTGAACAGTACAGTACAGTACAACAGTAACATTTTTGTGCTCTATAAGAGGTGAATTTTCGTCAGACGCAAGTGTGAAATAAGTGGACGCGGATGTGCAAGGATTTCCTATACAGTTGAGGACATTGGTCAATTTACTGCAGATCAGGAATTCTTTCTACTGTATCAATCAAGCAGATATTGTAGGTAGAAAGAGCATGTATGAATAATACAGCCAAGGAAAGCAATCAAGTGAAATGAAAATGAATAAACGACCCTATCCTCGACGCGTATACGTATTATCACAGCAGAGAGTGACCATGACAGCGTAGAAATCTACAGTACGACTGAAATAAGAATAATGTTTTAATCATGAATTCATATTATGTAAGACATCCATCATACTGCACACAAGTGTACCAATGGTTGGAGAAGACTCTAGACAAGCATGGATTCATTCCGTCAATCAGTCACAGTTACCATGCCGATCAAGAGGATTACAATGAGTCAATTCAATTCTAGTGGTACAAAGTTGAAGTAATCTTATTATCAACAAATACATTACAGTAAACATCTTTCGAGAATACAGTACAACATACGTACAGCCGTATCGAATGACAGTCAGACAATCTTTTCAAATTGAAATTTCACAACATGAGTACCCATCGATATTAAGGTTCAGATCGTGCAACATGGTGCTAAATTGACATCAATTCATTCATTATAGTGAAGAGAGCGTTGGCTTCGATCCAGAAGAATTGGGATTAATAAATCATATTAAAAGTGAATTGCAAACTTTAAGAGAGGAAGGACGATTAACTGAGGAAGATGAAATCGAAAATTTGGTTTTTGAAGGCGGTGGTGTTAAGGGTATCGCCTATATCGGAGCATTACAAGTAAGCCGAATGATAGTAGTTACGCTCGATAACTATGACAGGAACTGTACTGAGTTGATCATATTAAAATGACGTTCTCCTACATGATTGAAATCCCCGAAAAGAATAGAAATGATGACTGGAATTATAGTATAAGGAATACAGAGAAATAGTAAATCTAGCCCATAAAATGGACATGAATCCCGTTATGGTATTACAGCAGCTACAGTATGTCTTGCAATTAGTCATATAAAACAGTGTGCATATACAGTATAGCGAATTCTATATCAGAAATTTTAAATATAAAATTAGCACAAAGGGATAGTAGATTGATTCAAATGGCTAAGTTAAAGTCATTTATAAATTACAGTAAATAAAGTACAGCCAGCCTATAGCGATACTGTAAATATCCTTCAACTCCATTAAAATATACTACGCATCAAAGTGATCAATTTACCATACTATGCAAATAAACTAATGAACTGAACCCTTTCTTAGTTCTACAATGCTATTCATTATGTTTGCATTGACAATTTGCAATTAGGTTCTACAAGAATTAGGAATACTAACGGATGCCAATGGCAACAGAAGGATTAAACGGATAGCTGGAGCTAGTGCTGGTGCAATGCTTGCTTCTCTCCTTGCAATAGGATTGAAACTAAAAGATATTGATTATTTACTCAATCAAAATATTAAGGGTATCTTAGAAGGTATCCACTGAAGTTAAAACTAATATCTTTCATAATAAAATGCTGTATTCAAAATACAACTTGACTAACTCTTGTTATTAGATGCATATAGATTAGACTAAAATTCAATACTTACGTTGAACAAGGCTAAACATCTATACTAACAGTTGTTAACCAAATATTATCGAGTCTAGATCATGCATTAGGTTGCTGTAGCTTGCTGCCCAATTTAATCACCAAATTTGGTTGGAATCCCGGGCGAAGAATTGAGCGCTGGTTCAGACAAAGGTTTAAAGAACTGAATATCGACTCAGATATCACTTTCGCTCAGGTTGATGGCTATAACTATTTAATGAAATTGATAGTAACGAAATGAGCGTATTCATGTAGTAGTTGTAATCATATTTTATTTAACGCGGCTACACTTGATACTTACCGGTATACGTATTGATCTTTAGCTATTGGAACGTAATGATACCGAACTATGTATCGTCTCAACAAACTTAAATCGGCTATCTGCAGATTATCTACACGCAAAAACTACGCCAAACATGGAAATTTATAAAGCAGTCAGAATGTCAATGTCTCTTCCTTGTGAGTCCTGTTAAATTTTTTCTGTATCAAAGTTTACCTTTGTCTAGTGTTGTTACAGTTTTGCCCCTAGACTAGTAATTATTTTAGTATACATGTAGCTCGTACTCATACCGATATTTTTATAAGAGAAGTGGAACTAATCCTTAATGCTAAGGAGATTTGAATTGACTATATACGCGTACTTGTTGTTACAGTCTACTTTGCAAGAATGCGTTATCCTAGAGAAGATTATGATGAAAGTGATATATCCGAAAAATCGTGTAAATGCATTCGTTGTTGGTGTTGTTGCTGTATATGTGGTGGATGGGAAAAGGGTTCATCTAGGAAAGATATTTACGTTGATGGTGGCTTAGTGTGTAACTATCCAATACACGTTTTCGACGGTAAACTTTCTTAATTTGTAATTATTATTACGGTGTTCCAAACGTATTATTTAAATCGATATGTAGTTAATCTTACGAAAAAATAACATGTACTATACTTGTCGCTTTTCTAAATAATTTTTCGAAAATATACGATAATACACGTTAGAAAAATTTCAAATTTCGATTTTAAAAATAGAACAACCTACTGTAAATAGACAATAACATACAGTAGTAACTTCTGTAAAGCCTATAAAGTAAAGATGTTCTACTTTCATATAAAACAATAAGATGGCTATTATTCTACTGTACGTAATTAAGATGGTAAGCTATTCCCGTTAGAAGTAATTTGTTCTTCAGCTATAGTGTGTTTTGTACGCTGTATCAAAGCCTTTTTCATAATTACTGTACAATTACTTGTTTAGGATGGTGGCTTTCCTTAGAAGAGAAAAATCATTTCGTTAAAAAACTTAGACCATTCCATACGAGAATTGATGAATTATATGATGACGCTGCCAGATTTGGGACAGAATGCAACTGGAAAACATTAGGGCTACTATTAGTAAGTTAATAAATACCGAATAAATTTCTTGTGAAATTTGCTTATTCTATCGATTACGTACGTATTCATGACTTATTACTAGTGTAACTGTACAATCTAAGCCTGCTATTAAATTGCATCTTCGGAATGGCTGTATCACAATTGTATTATATTGAGATGATATCGCCAATAAATGTTACAACATTATAAAGAGTATTAATCGTTTTATTATAACATGCTTCTTACCGTAGTATTCAGCGAATGAAGCGGAAATATTTGCAAAAAAATTAATAGAAAGAGAAGCTTCGTTATTTCATCGGTGCAAAGAGAATAACCCCTCTATGCCTAAGCAATCGGTTAGGAATTGGGTAAATTATCATTTGAGTAAGGAATTTCAAACGAAACTATCCCAGAAAAAGGGCAGGCAAGTATATAGGAATTTAGCGGTTGTTAAATTGTTGGCAACTGGCACTCTAAGCACAATACAGATTTATGCCGCAGAATCATACTCTTTTTCCCTTTATCGAGAAAATATATTAATTGGAGCTCAATTACAATTTGCTAAAACAAACTAGGAAATCCATTCAGGTTTCTCATTCAGATCGACAGGATTTACTTCGAGAATTTGAACGTTTTATGACGGTATTCATTATGCAATTATTGTAACACTTGCTAGACTGTATGGAATGTATGACATTACTACTTTATGATAGTCTTAATGCGAAGCGATTGTAACATTTCGTAGACTTTACGAGTATTTTCAACCAAAAAGCCGTTATTTTTTAACTATTTCATATCAACTTTATAATTTTTGCAATAGTACTGTAGTACTTTACACTTACAATTATAGTTAATTACTACATACACTAATAATGTTGATAACTAGCAGATTTTGCTATATGCATGCAATACTAAGTAAACTGTCGCTGTGATCGAGAAGAATGCTCTATACTCACGTCTGACTTTCAAGTATGCCCATGCTGCCATTAGGTCTTACTGACAATTAGTATCACTGTACTTGCACGTTTTCTGTTTACGTGATAGCCTTACCCAGTGTTTTACTGATTTTGTTAGCTTTATATTTTTGCTAAATTCTGTTTTCGAACATTTCCGCATTAGAAGTAATGGTATTTTAATTTTATGCAGGAATTAGATAAATACGCTGTAACTGATGGAAATAGACCATCGTATTATCGCCTGGAAGATGTACAAGAAATTTTAAGGGTTACCTACTTTTGGATTAGAGAATGATATTACTACATAATGTTGGTTTTTAGTCTAGATGTTTATTAATGTTTAAAATTGTAAATAGAATTTAGACAATACTGCAAAGTCGAAACTACTGCGTCGGGGTGGTGAAGTTGACTTCATGAAAAAAATTAATCCGAACAATGATAATAGGGTAAAGATTAAAGGAATAATTGATAGAGCGATAAAACAATTTTAATTACTGGCTTACTGCATAGTGCACATAATAGTTTACATTCATTTATTACAATAGATGTTAAAGATTTACTGTATACATGCTTAAAAGCTTTGTTGATATTTGTTACCTTATACTAAAGCCTTGAGAAATTTGTAAGAACGATTAAAATATAAATACTTCAATATAGGCATTAGTGTACTGCAGTGTCAATGAAGGTAACATTAGCTGCATTAATACTATAGGTTGATCTGAATGAGATTCTTGGATATTTTCGTTCTGTTGGTGTAAATTTGAGGACTGGTCATCTTGGGTTTGAGCGGGTCAACATAACCAAACCCTCTGAATACGTGTCATCGTTATTGGTAAGATATACTTTTTATGTTTATGTAGAACCAATTTACGATTTGATAGACTAAGTTAATATCAAATACTATAATTGAAAAAATAGGACACACTAGCAATGAGTTCTAAAAGGAGATTTGTAAAGGTTGGTTATGAAAGAATTTAGATACCTCGTAGTAAAATATTGACTTCTTAAAAAATTATATAATAGTAATTTGTATGGTTATATGTTATGTGATTTATAAATTTACATTGAAAGGGTGTGGATGTACATAGAACAATTGGAATTAATACTCACCATGTTGGAACAACAAATTGGTATATGGATGAGGCAGACAAAAAGTTATTGAAAAAGGTAAGCTTAATATTGCGACTTATTGCTGCATAGTCATCATTTAGTAAAGTAGAAGTAGAATTATAATATATTGGAATGAAATACGATTTTGTAAGGTTAAAATAATACTGTAACATTTTTGCGAGCTTGTGTATAATCGTGCAATGTAATAATTATTGCAAAGATATTTATTGTTAAAGTGTTTATTTTCGCTGCAAGGTACGAAGTTGTTCGTATAATGGTGATTTTAATTCATTTTAACAATTATAGAGTGGAAGAAGGGGGACTATAGCTTTCTTTATTAACGAATATTTACCCCGTCTACGCGATCGCCGGAAAGTAACAACAGTATAAGCATTTGCTGTGGTGATGAAACAGTGGCAGAATTATGATAAAAAGTTTGCATATGGGACTTTCCAAGACTATTCCGTATTGTATGGTAATTTAAATTCTTTCGTAGTAGGCCTGATTGGAACATCAAATTATTAAAGAAATGAATTCAGTATTCGATAGTATCTAGTAGTAATACTAACACTTACAGGTTCAGCCATAAGGGTTACAGTACATCGTACAAGCCGTAACCGAATAGATATAATCTTAATATCCACTAATATTATAACTCATTCTGTTGTATCTACAATGAAGTATAGTCTGCGTTATGGAATCAAAAGTATAGTGCTATTTAGAGTGTTGCAGCTACAGTCCGAAACATTTATAAATATGAGAATATGTGAATATTTACATTGATATATAAAACGGTATATTAATACGATTTCCCGTATGTGATTTATCAGAGGGTTGTCGCTTTTGGCAATACTGTAATAATGTGTAATTAAAGAATCAAATTTTTATTATAGGTTTAAGCTAGATGTTATGCGAAGCAATCTACTTGTACTACTAATACTAATTGTAAGTCCCCGTAATGCGTTTCTAAGATTTTGTTACTATCTCCAATAATAAATGATTACGTAGTACTGTTACCCGTTAAAGATAGAGAGAAATAAAGAAAGAAACGCTGTAATATTAATGTGATGATGTTGGAATAAGGAATCTTGTATAGCTATCATGTAACTGCTAAATATAGGTGCTGCATCATAATAGTATCAGCTCAAGCACTTAAGATATTCTCAGATGACAAAATACTTTAATGACGTAAAGACATTACTACCGCTCATTGATTTCGCTTTCATCTGGTGATTTACTGGTTAACTGGGAAAAGCGTAGTACAGTCTTTATAGAAATTATATTTCGGCTTGGATATTCTCTAAATCAGTCAGAAAGCCTAAAACTATTAATACGTGGCAGTGAAATAAATTGGTATCTTATAACGTAATTAGATAGTATAAAGCCAGTGCATAAATTGAACATTTATCTTTGCTTGCTTTCATTTTTGCTTTATATTTATGCTTACGATCTACATTAGATTTGCACTACTGTCGAGCGGGTTGAAACCTTTCGGCCTGTCGACTTGCTCAATATAACAATTGTATATTATGTTTACATGATACAGTTATTCCAGTGTTGATTTCAGATCTTACGGTAATAAACCTTTTCCTTACATTACACATAAGACTAGAATTAATTTCTGTGAGTATGCGAGTATTCCTAAAGTAGGATTAACCATTTACAAGATATAGCATTATGGTAAGTCTGCATCAGGGTAAATATTCCTCAGCAAATAATACTGTAATTGTATGAATATGAAGTGGAATACGTATAAAGAGTAAGAATGCTAATAGCGTGCTTTCTATTTTATGCTGCTTATTAAGATCTTCAATTAAATTCAAAATTGATCTTTGCTGACTAGATGACTACAGTAATTGAATATTTAAATGCAATCTTACTATTGCAAATATCGGGGTATCATAACAATTCATATTCTACAGAGCTATTGACTAACTCATAGATATTTTAAAATCCTAAATCATCCTTAAACAGCTATTTAAGTTTGAGATCATAACGACGCACGCAGATTTTTTATTAATATCACTTAAACGAATAAAAGGGCAATGTACTCACGTAAGAATCCTAGCAAGGCGAGAAAACTTGATCTCATTGATAGTAGATTAATTGGCGACATTAATATGGAGACCCCAGAATATAAAAGCTCATTCAGTATCGATACAATGCGGGAATAATTTCATGAATTATCCTGTGTTTTGCATATTAAAATCGACAGGATTACTAATTTTAGAGGGTACTACAGCCATAAGTAAATGTTAACTATCGGCTAATATATTACAAATTTTGTAATCCCGGCAAATAACTAGTAGTATTGCGTCTTTGTAATAGCTTCTAATTCTCTATGAGCAATATTTTAAATTCAATTCCACCTAATTCTATCATACTCTAATCGAAATAGAACTACAGCATTACACTATATACAGTAGTATATCTAGTTATTGATGTATTGTGAGTATTAAGGAGTGTAGATCTATTCAACTGCCACTCTGACCAGTTAGCTTTTCTTTCCGCTAATACAACTTTCAATGGAACAAATACGATATCACAGTCCAACTTTACATACGTTATATCTAAAACTACAGCAAGAAGCGAATTGCTGACTTAGTACGACAAACAAATTTGTTGTCCATGCCTAAAATGATTATCAAAGGCGCGAGGAAGCTGAAATTGATTCATTAACTTCCTACATACTTTTAACTATCAGTTACAGCTCTCCCTAACCGATAAATAGAATTAAGGGATTTCATGACGTTAGTCTACAAGGATGTTAAGAATATTCCATCTGACTACTAGTTTTGTCTACGACTCGATGACTTTTCATTGGACGCATCAGTGTATCGAACATCTATTAACTACTGACACTTAGATTACAGACCAACATCTCTTATTAATTTTCTATCAATCATCATGCCATGTTAAATGAAAGTTAAAACATACAATAGTACATTCTGATGTAAGAGGGTATCCATCATTTGACTTAAAAGTAAGGATACAAATCGTACGCGTTGATCAGATCGACTTAAAAGTACTTTAGAATATCATTTATCATCATAAGCAACTGTTGTTACGATGATAGTAGATTCATTTATGGATCATTTTCCACAGTATTATATTCGAGGCCACTCCTTTATTCAAGGATAATAGTAGAGCTTGCCAATTTAGACCATATAGAAAGAACTCAATTTACCGTCGCTAACAGGCGCTATTCTTGTGGCATATTGTTTGCCTTTATTGATGAGTAATTATGTTATTCAAAATAAGCATTCAGTATTGTTTGGTTGCCCAACCTTAAGCAGAAAATGACTGATAGAACATTGCATAGTAATTAGCTAAAAGACAGACAAAGACTAGGACTCTTCCCTCTTTCTCATTAATGTCTAATTAGCATGAATAACTTTTCACAAACTGCTTAGCGGCATATATAAATATCTATAGCAATTTCCATGCTTCTACAGTAGCTTCGCTTAAACCAAATCGAGAAATCGGAGCATTGGATTAGATTGGTATCTTGATATATGTATTTACAATTCCATTAGCCTTTATTAGAATACCAAGAACAAAGTTGATCTACGCCTTTTCCTGATATTTATCGTCACGATCTATTAATTCTGGAGAATTCAAGGTATGCTGGTTCCAAAGTAGACATCTAAATTAAGAATTGTAGTCGTTGAATGTAGCAGAAGAAAATCCAAATTGAGTTAAAATGATATAATTTAATATCTGATCATGATAATTTTAAATCATCGAGAAAGGCTGACCAATACTTTGAGTTAGTTTAAAACGAATGGGATTCTAAGGCTATTTTGAATCAAGGTTTATTAAACCGTTAGTCTTGATGATTCTTATCTTAAAATAAGTACATTGTTCTAAATCCGATTGATTTTAAGTATGATTGAACGTATAGGCAGAAGCCAGTAAGCTAAAATTGCTTTACTGTACTTGATAGCTAACCGTCCCAATTTTTAATTGTCGACTCATATTCTTATTTTTGCGATTACATCGTTCCATGATTGATTCAACAGGTTAGCCAATGGGTTTTAAGGAATATTCAACTAAAATTTGTTCAAGTATTGAATCCGTGATATGTTGACTCTTGCTCTACTGTAAAATGAGTAGGCTGTTTCATTTATTTAATGCGTGAGGTGCGAGCTAACAAGTTGACTCGATTATTTCTTACTGTCATTATTACAGAAATCCAAGTGATATAATACTTAAGCAGCCGAATTGATTAATTAGTTGATGCAAACGAGTCAAGTAAATCGATTCTAAGTTATTAATGAATCAAGTATTACTCGTATTAACTTATATTACCTTAATGGACACCTTGCGCAAAAATAAGTAGATTGCTAGATTGATGACTGACTTCAAAATTATCTATGAATATCAGATGATCATACCTACTTTAATGACAGTTGTTGTTGATAATTATTTATAAGTAACGCCAGTTATAAAGTCTAGATCATTGATAGGGTAGATCAGTTTGTCTCATCAAGAAGATTTGAATTAATAATTCTGATCGCGAGCGTTGTTCAACATAGATTATAAAAGTAATTAGTACTTGTTAAAAAATCTTACTTTGGCTACGGGCTGATAGTACTGCTAGTTACAATTTGATAAAAATTTATTCAAGAGTGACTCTTAAGCTATCAATGTGGAAATTGATAGTGTTAAGGGTGTGCTTCTGTATAGAATGAACTTGAATTTAGGGTACTTACCTTTACTCCATGCCTTTCAGGTCAAATACGATCATTACTTGTAGAGGGTAATACGAAATAGATGATTTCATCGATAGGCTTAAAATAGAATAGGTTTAGATCCAATCCCATGTTAATTGAGTCTAGTACAGTAGATCATATAGGAGAGAAACGACGATATTATAGCAAACTCGTAAGTTATATCTCTTAGCATGCACGCTGACATACAGTATTAGGGCGGTTCGATGAGTAGCAATGTTGTAGCAATGTTAAAAATTAGATAATTAAATAATGAATGATAACAAATAAAATCGATGCAATCCATATCTACATAAAATTCCTGAAAGATAATAATTATCGCAAGAAAAAGGTGAAGACAACAAATCTTCATTATTTTACAGCGAGGTTCTTTGTGATAACCATAGAAAAGAAGTTCATACTATCATTAATGTGTTATGCTGTGAATAAAAATCCTTTTCCAATATTATTTACTTTAATGATTCTGAGATGCCGGATCGGGCGTACCGTAATTTCTAGTCTTCTATTGATAAAAGATACATAAAATGATACCCAGCAACTACCTAGAAAATGCTAAGAGTAGTGAAATATCTTCGTTTTAAGAATGAACTGGCAGATCATATTTATAAGATTGAAATCTTTACTATTTCAAGCTTTCCATGGTGTTAAATAATAATTGTTTCTTACATCATTTACTTTTGTGATCCTATGCTGTCCGATCGAGAGTAATTTGTAATAGAGTTATAGTATTACATACATAAGATGATAACTCATGAAAAAAATGATAAAAATTGCCAATCTTGATTGTTTTAAGAATGCAGTTATTGGTCCTATAATTGAGATGAAGCCTTTGTCATTTTAGCTTGATCTAGTGCTGCATTTTTAATCAATTTTCCATTTTTTATCTACTTTCATGATTGTATAGTATTCGATTGGGTAATTAATAGCTAAATTCAAAGAAAATAACAGCTCTCTATCCCCTTAGCTTGAATTAACAAATCATAATTACAGGATAAAAAACTTGTCATTATGGCATATCATGATGTTGAATAAGAATCATTTTCTGGTAGTGTTTATTCTAAAGTTGCTATAGCACTAAGTCGAGCTCTTTCCAATTTTATAATTTTAACTGAATCCCTAAGGAAAAGTAATACGGTAGTTTTTGATCGTTCTAGAAACTAGCTACATATTAAGCAATAAGATTAAAGATTTCAGAATATGCCTTTATCGTAGATCATGGTATTAAATAAACAGCTTTCCTACACTATTACTATTGCAGTGCAATAGTACCGGCTCGTTTTATTTGTGCTTCTATATATTAGAATACAAAAGCTATTGAATTATTTAATTAGAAACATAGAGCATCTAGCAAGTAATCTTTAATAGTTTTAATTAAAGATAAGATTGGTAAGAAGATACGGAAATAATCGTTAAGTATGATATTCTTATTGTCGGGCGTGTTTTCATATTTTGATTAAAGCCCACTGCGAAGTAGGTGCTATGATCAGGAAAATTGGAAAACGCGATGTTTCTCTAGTTTATATTGGTATTTGACCTGATTTATAAAGAGTTAATAATATACAAGATGATGGCAAGATATTATTACTATGACCGTAATATCATTTTAAGAAAGAGGGGTCGGGTCGTATTTAAATTTGAATCATTCAATATGTTGTACAATATTTTGGTCTTTCTTGGTTGATTTATTGCTTGTATTGGAATATGAGTGAGATTCTTGTAGTTTATCAGATCAGAAATTTATTTAGTCTTATTCTGTAAGATCTAATCAGCAGATATCTTGCTCACACCAGTAAAATAAAAATTAACTGGTTTCTGAATTTTTTGTGCT